CAATATGGTAATAAACAAATGCAACTTTCATTGTTAAAATATTGCACAAGTCTTTGAATGTATGTAATTTGTATCTTTTCTTAACCTATTCTTGAATATATCATCATTGGGCTCCATGAGATTATTAACCCTTCTTAATTTAATTTATACATGGTTTTGTTTCTTTCTTTCGTGAGAATGATGCAGAATATTCTTAACTAGATAAGCTACAAAATATATAAATATTCATCATTCTTTAAAGCATTTGAAGTTAGTCTTATGAAAAGAAAATGCTATCAAAAAACTTTCCTTCATTATGCAATATTAATTTATTTGATTCCTTGAAAAAGAAATGATTAATTTAGAGAAGGTAAACTTAATTGCTCACTAATTAATTAATTAATCAAGTGTGGTCAACGAGCATGTAGCTGAACAGGCAATAGAGTTTTCCTCTCTCAAGAGTTCTCATATTCGAGCCTCTTCTTTGTAATAAAAAAATTAATCTAATTTGATGTTAATGCTTTGCAAATTACCCTAAAAAAGGGAAGTAATTAATTCATCAAGAAAAAAACAACCATTAATTGAGTATTTTTCAATTCAATGGACGATTGGGTATTTTATTAATATACAAGTGCAAGTGTAACACTGCGTATAATCATGCTACTAATTACCATTTAACAATTGATTTAATCATCTTCTCAAAATTAAAACAAGGCAATGATTAGTTTAATTGCACTGCTTATTTCATTGCACGTGCGTATGAAGAAGAATAAATTATCAATTATACTATATATATACATATTAAAATCTAAAGAAAAAAGAAGAAGCTATAGAACTACTATATGAAAGATAAAGTTCGCCAGCGATTGAAGAAATCCCAATATCCGAAAAGAATGAAAAGAAGAAATGCAGTAAAATTAGATATGATATCTACTCATCCACATTCTTTGCATGGCCATTTCATTAATTAATTAATTCTTTGTATGAACCTTGCATCACCTACACAAACAGTTTTAGATCTCTGAAATCTCTCTCCAAATCATAATTAATTACTAACATCCTCTATAAAATGGGGAAGAAGGGATACTTATTAGAATACTATGTTAGTATATTTATTTTCTTATACATAGTTCTTTTGTAGCATGCCGATTTTATATTATAAATTAAAGATAGATCACACTGGAGCCTGGGTCTCCCTTCCCTTAAAATAATGTAGAACGTTTGCATCACTAGACACTCACTGATAGCTAGGAGCTATCTGGCCGGTTCTATAGGCATTGAGTAATTCATCACCTTCCCTCGGAATAATTCAACTTTTCTATGATGTTTTTTCTTTTTTTTCTTCTTGCAAATTAGAATGATGTTAACAATACATGAAAACTATAGAATAGTATAATATAGAAGAGAAGGTACGTAATTATAATTTGGTTAGTAAATCGACAAGTATAAACACGGATTAGTAATTAACTAGTTCTACCTTGTAAGATGTGTAATATTCTAACCAATAGATACGTAGACTATGTGGACAAGTGATAGTAAATTCTTTCTACTTTTAAGATTAATCACATATTCAAATATTCTATATGGCGCATATGCTTCATTATAAGACGAGATTAAAGTAATTCCTTATCTTTATAGGGTATGATACTTTCAAAATCGTCAATGAAGTTTAGTTTTGATTGATATGTAAATCAGTTTGGAGATATTTTTTTGTTGAGAATTTTGCTTAAAAGCATGGTTAGCGGATATATTTGAATTTAAATTAAAAGTGCAGTACAATTATTTTTTTGAATTAAAACTTTATTAGAATTTAATCACTAACATAAACTCTTTAACGTGAAACATTAATAAGATTTTAAATCAATTTTGGATAAATGAGAACTTGATATCAAATAACTATTATTTGATATATTTTGATAAAACTAAAACCTTTTAAAAGAACTTTATTCTATAGAGAAAATAAAAAAAATTGTAGTTTATAAAATCAAAAGTTGAGAAGTTAATTGAATCTAAAGAGCACTCAAACTTTTAGAAAAGAAAGATCCTAATTAAAGTGGACTTAAACTCATGCGTATACATATTAGCTCAGCTCAGATCAAGTTTGGGTTAAGTATTATTTTGAGTCGTGAAAAATTATTTTTTCTTTTAGCCTATTGGTTTGTCTAGGCATGAAATATTGGTTTGTTTAGGCATGAAAGGAAGAGATTGATTAGTTTTTCAAGAACTCTTCAACAATGCATGAAGAGATTTTTCAGCTCAAAAGTCACATGATTTTAATAAATAAAAAAACATTCATTTAAGGATTTTAGTTAAACTAAGTCATATAATATTTTTAGTAACACTAAAAAACAATTATTTCCTGTTTATTCCTATGATGATATAATTGCTAGCTACAACGCGATAAATGGTGAGATGTCCTTTTAATAGTTTTCATATCTTGGCATACCAAATGAATTGTAGTATAATAATTTTAACGAAAGATCACTTATATAAGTGAGAAATATGATCGTTTCTTCGAGAATTTTAAAAATGCTAAATTCTCTAAAGTACTAGTAAATCCAGGAGTTGTTCAGAGCAAAAAAAAATATATATAATAGTGAGAACTAATGGAAATATCTAGGTAAAGAACTATACGGGTACTATTATTGTGGTTTACCCAAAAGATGAATAGTTTAAGACATAATGTTCACTATTTAATGAGTAAGTATAATAGTATTTTACTGAGAAACATTCAAAGCCAAAAGCTACTTCTCTTAATGAAATGATCTATCAAATTAATGTCTCTTTACAAATCTTCGAGTCATTTTTTAAACCTGCTAAAAAATTTCATTTATGTGGAGGATTGTTAGAAAATTTGTTTGAGAACATAATTAATAGAAAAAGTTGATGTCAAATTAAAAGTGAAGTCATTTTTTTGGATCCAGTTATTCTCCACTATGAATAATTAATTATTTCAGCTCATTAGTTTGTCCAGTTCATGAAAGAAATAAACTTATTATTTTTTCCAAAACTCTACCAACAATATGTGAACATAGTTTTCAACTCAATAGTCACACGATTTTAATCTAAAAGCATTCATGTTTAATTCTAGTTTTATTGTGGATAATCAAACTTGTTAATAGAGAAAGTCCATAAGCTTTTAGTTCTTAAAATTTTGCATGAAAAAAAAGTTGAATAAAAGTGTTTGAGGATTGCTTAATTATGCATTATCTTGATAGAATTTGACACTCTT